TATGAGCTCAACCCCTGCACCTGCCACAAGCCAGGCTGGGTGTGAGAGCCTGTCTCCGACCTTGGGTGGAAGCCCGGAGAGCAGGCCGGGCGGCAGCCTGTGGGCAGTGGCAGCTGGAGGGGAGGCCAGGCTCTCTGGGCGGGAGGGCAGGCCGCGCACTGTGGAGACTGTGGGCCGCTGCAGTTACCCTGGGAGGTGGTAAGGGCAGGTCGGTGGGAACCAGCCTCCCGGGAGCCATCACTGAGCTTCTGGGCTGCCCTTTGCTCCTGGAAGGAGGAGCTCGGGCCGGGCTTTCCTGGTCAGAGCACCTTCCAGGTGGCCCGGGACCCAGAAGTGTGGGCTGAGCCAGCGTAGTCCTCGACGGCAGTGCCCCCATGTGGCCGCCTTCCGGTCAGCAGGCCACCCCGCTGCCTGCCCATGGGTGTCCACTAACCGGGTGCCGACGGGGGAGCCGGCGGTCCCTCTGCCAGGCGGTGGCCAGGGGTGGCCTGGACCTCGGCGGAAGCTGGGCTGAGGTGAGCAGCGACCAGAGCTGTCCGGCCCTCGCCCGCGGCCTCCGTGGCCGCTGCCCTCCTGTCTGTGCTGCTTTCAGGGCGTGCTGTCCGACCTGACCAAGGTGACCCGGATGCACGGCATCGACCCGGTGGTGCTGGTCCTGATGGTGGGCGTGGTGATGTTCACACTGGGCTTCGCCGGCTGCGTGGGCGCTCTGCGTGAGAACATTTGCCTGCTCAAGTTTGTGAGTGGCCGGGCTGGGCGGGCTGCATGGGCCTGGGGCACCGGGCAGGGCGGCCCTTGTCCTCTGCTGCCCCCAGAGCATTTCCAGAGTCCAGAGCAGCCAGTCCTGCTCAGGAGAGGGCTCCCCACCCCAGGAGAGGGATCCCTCCAAGGAGAGGACTCCCCAGCCCCCAGGAAGGCTTCACCCAAGGAGAGGGTTCCCCACCCCCCAGGAGAGGGCTCCTGACCCTCCCCCCCAGGGGAGGGCTCCCCACTCTCTGGAGATCCCCCAAGAAAGGGCAGCCCTTCTAGTTTACTGCCTGGGGAGGTGCCCACTGCTTTGCTGCCCCCTGTCCCTTCCCCGCCCAGAGTGGCCCAGAGGGCCTTCCTGCAGCCGCATGATCTCAGAGCCCAGCCAGGTCCTTAACTGTCTGCAAACCTCTGCCTGGGACTTCCCTTTTGTATTTTGATACAAATTAAATAGCAGCAGGGCTGGCAGGTGGCATGCTGGTTACAGGTGCTGTATTCCCATGTGGCCGAGAGCAGTTCAAGTCCCGGACTTGGCAGCTTGCTTTCTCATTTCCCCCCTCTCTTTCTCGCTCGTTCGCTTGCTCTGTCCCTCTTTGGCCAAATTAAAAAAATAAATAAATAAATAAAGTTAAATAAAGAGATAGAGAGCATCTGGTAGGGAAAATACTTTCTTTTTTGCAAAATATTATTTGCTAAATTTATTAAATCCACTTTCTATTTTCTGAGCTTCGTGTATAAAGCAAAGTGTGTGTATTTGTGTGCGTGTGTTCCATTTCCTAAAAGAAATACTACGTGTAGCGTGTTGCTTCTAGTGAACCGCGCTTTGGCAGTTCGGTGTCCATGTATAACACGTGTGTGTGTGTATATTTCCCTGTCTGTCTCTGACAGGCTTCTCGGCTTTGCCAGCTGGGCAGAGCTGCCTTGTCCTAGGCGGCCATGAAGCTCAGCTGAGAGGCCAGGCCTGCTTGGGGGGCGGTGTGACCCGGGCTGCAGTGGCCACCAGGTTGCAGTGCTGTCCGTGGGGGCCGAGCTGCTCTGGGGGTCCTGGGGTCTCGCTTCTGCCCTCCTGATGTGGGGTGACAGTCGGGTGGTATGGGGGAGTCGGGCACTGGCGTCACCAGATCTGTGGGCAGCCTGGTGGGCAGGACAACCATGCATGCCTGTGACCAGGGCCTTCGGAGGGACAGGGTGCCTCGGGGGAGGATGGGCTCGTGTGGAGTGTCCCCACCCTTTTCCTGTCCCCTCAGCACAGGGGGTGGGGGGCGAGGGGGCCAGGTCCTTGGCCAGTCAGGTGGGCTTCCCATCCTGTGGGCTCTGGGTGGGCACCTGTGACCTCCCAGCGTGAACCCCTGTGTGTGACAAACCCAGTGTGTGGCCCGCCCCCAGGCAGCCTGTCCTCCATGTCCCCCTGCAGTTCTGTGGGACCATCGTCCTCATCTTCTTCCTGGAGCTGGCTGTGGCTGTGCTGGCCTTCCTGTTCCAGGACTGGGTGAGGGACCGGTTTCGGGAGTTCTTCGAGAGCAACATCCAGTCCTACCGGGAAGACATCGACCTGCAGAACCTCATCGACTCCCTGCAGAAGGCCGTAAGCACCCCGTGGCGGCTCCCCGCCCCGGCCCATGGTGGTCCACTACCCGGGTGCCGACGGGGGAGCCGGCGGTCCCTCTGCCAGGCGGTGGCCAGGGGTGGCCTGGACCTCGGCGGAAGCTGGGCTGAGGTGAGCAGCGACCAGAGCTGTCCGGCCCTCGCCCGCGGCCTCCGTGGCCGCTGCCCTCCTGTCTGTGCTGCTTTCAGGGCGTGCTGTCCGACCTGACCAAGGTGACCCGGATGCACGGCATCGACCCGGTGGTGCTGGTCCTGATGGTGGGCGTGGTGATGTTCACACTGGGCTTCGCCGGCTGCGTGGGCGCTCTGCGTGAGAACATTTGCCTGCTCAAGTTTGTGAGTGGCCGGGCTGGGCGGGCTGCATGGGCCTGGGGCACCGGGCAGGGCGGCCCTTGTCCTCTGCTGCCCCCAGAGCATTTCCAGAGTCCAGAGCAGCCAGTCCTGCTCAGGAGAGGGCTCCCCACCCCAGGAGAGGGATCCCTCCAAGGAGAGGACTCCCCAGCCCCCAGGAAGGCTTCACCCAAGGAGAGGGTTCCCCACCCCCCAGGAGAGGGCTCCTGACCCTCCCCCCCAGGGGAGGGCTCCCCACTCTCTGGAGATCCCCCAAGAAAGGGCAGCCCTTCTAGTTTACTGCCTGGGGAGGTGCCCACTGCTTTGCTGCCCCCTGTCCCTTCCCCGCCCAGAGTGGCCCAGAGGGCCTTCCTGCAGCCGCATGATCTCAGAGCCCAGCCAGGTCCTTAACTGTCTGCAAACCTCTGCCTGGGACTTCCCTTTTGTATTTTGATACAAATTAAATAGCAGCAGGGCTGGCAGGTGGCATGCTGGTTACAGGTGCTGTATTCCCATGTGGCCGAGAGCAGTTCAAGTCCCGGACTTGGCAGCTTGCTTTCTCATTTCCCCCCTCTCTTTCTCGCTCGTTCGCTTGCTCTGTCCCTCTTTGGCCAAATTAAAAAAATAAATAAATAAATAAAGTTAAATAAAGAGATAGAGAGCATCTGGTAGGGAAAATACTTTCTTTTTTGCAAAATATTATTTGCTAAATTTATTAAATCCACTTTCTATTTTCTGAGCTTCGTGTATAAAGCAAAGTGTGTGTATTTGTGTGCGTGTGTTCCATTTCCTAAAAGAAATACTACGTGTAGCGTGTTGCTTCTAGTGAACCGCGCTTTGGCAGTTCGGTGTCCATGTATAACACGTGTGTGTGTGTATATTTCCCTGTCTGTCTCTGACAGGCTTCTCGGCTTTGCCAGCTGGGCAGAGCTGCCTTGTCCTAGGCGGCCATGAAGCTCAGCTGAGAGGCCAGGCCTGCTTGGGGGGCGGTGTGACCCGGGCTGCAGTGGCCACCAGGTTGCAGTGCTGTCCGTGGGGGCCGAGCTGCTCTGGGGGTCCTGGGGTCTCGCTTCTGCCCTCCTGATGTGGGGTGACAGTCGGGTGGTATGGGGGAGTCGGGCACTGGCGTCACCAGATCTGTGGGCAGCCTGGTGGGCAGGACAACCATGCATGCCTGTGACCAGGGCCTTCGGAGGGACAGGGTGCCTCGGGGGAGGATGGGCTCGTGTGGAGTGTCCCCACCCTTTTCCTGTCCCCTCAGCACAGGGGGTGGGGGGCGAGGGGGCCAGGTCCTTGGCCAGTCAGGTGGGCTTCCCATCCTGTGGGCTCTGGGTGGGCACCTGTGACCTCCCAGCGTGAACCCCTGTGTGTGACAAACCCAGTGTGTGGCCCGCCCCCAGGCAGCCTGTCCTCCATGTCCCCCTGCAGTTCTGTGGGACCATCGTCCTCATCTTCTTCCTGGAGCTGGCTGTGGCTGTGCTGGCCTTCCTGTTCCAGGACTGGGTGAGGGACCGGTTTCGGGAGTTCTTCGAGAGCAACATCCAGTCCTACCGGGAAGACATCGACCTGCAGAACCTCATCGACTCCCTGCAGAAGGCCGTAAGCACCCCGTGGCGGCTCCCCGCAAAGCTCCCTCCCGCCTAGGCGGTCTTTGCCACTCCGGGGCCAGAAAGGTGGGGGTGCGGGTGTCGCACCTGCAGCATGGCACACGACCGCAGTCAGCTCAGCTGTGCCTGCTCCTGGCCTCCTGGTGGTTGGGGCCCTGTTCGTGTGCCGTCCCCCTGCGGGCCGAGCGGCAGGTCTAGGTGCCCACGGACACCCCTCTCTTAGTGGCCCAGGTCTCTCCAGCGCTGCCCAGTAGCCACTCAGGGCCTGCAGCACTGTGGTCCCAGGCAGTGCTTCCGCAGGGCCCCTGACTCACTGTTGAGGCCTTTCCGTTCCCCTCCACTGGGCCTTCCTCTTCTGTCTCAGCAGGCAGAGCTGCCTGGAGGAAGCCTCCTCAGAAGGGAGGAATGTGCCCTCTCTGGGTGGCTGTGGCCTACTGGCCCTCCCTGCTGCCTGTGCACTGCTCGGGCTGCGGCCGGCCCAGGCCCCTAGAGGGCCCTCCCTGCTGCCGTCATCTTGCACGAGGCTCCTGGGCCGAGCACTGCCAGGAAGCCCTGCTTCCCCCAGCAGGTTTCACGTGGACACTGGATCCGAGGAGACAGGAAACAGGAAGTAGGAAAGCTGAACATCGGTGACCCACTCTCTTCGTGACCAAAGCTAGTTGACCTGAATTTCATTTGTCAGCATACCCGCTTCTGTGACTTCCCAGAGCTGTCACGGCCTGCTTTAATCTGAGTCACCAGATCCCTGCCGTCACTCACGAGGCTTCCCCTCGAGAGCCTGCGGCCTCAGCCAGCCCACCTCACCCTGTTGCCCGAAGGACACGGGGGACACGGGAGGCTTCTCTATTGCCTGCCTTTTGTCATTATTAGTGTTTAAGCTTCTTGTATTCCAGTTGTCAGGGCAGTGGTGAGACTGAAATCCCCTCTCCTGTCTCTCCCTCCACGCGGATTCGGCATGCACGTGCACCCAGGGCGGTTTTCGAGCCACTGGGGCTGGGATCTGAACAGCGGCCAGACATGGGATGCAGCTGTTCTGTCGCCGGTCACTGATGGGCCAGTGGGAGACGAGGCCTGCTATTGGCAGCCAGATTCCCGGCACGTTTGGTTCTAGGACCTTTTAGACGAGTGAGGGTGTCCTTGTCCACTTCAGCAGATAGCCAGATGGAAGGGCAGAGGCCCCGGTGGGCACAGGCCTGGCTGCGCCATGGCTGCCCTGACCGCACGTCCCCTTTCTCGGGCGTGGACATCTAGCTGCTATTTTTGTGAAGAGGCAGAGGGCGACCAGGTGCGGCGTGGATGGCCTGTCCCCAGGCGGCATGTTCTGGGCCACAGGACCATTCTAGAGGGCCAGGGACAGAAGTCCGGGTGGGGGGGACAGGAGGGTCAACCGGCAGATGTCAGCACTGTGAGTCCGGCGCCCTTTCCCTCCCAAAGGCCCCTGTCGTGTTGGGTGGAGGCGCGGTGGGCTGGGCAGAGGCCCCGGTGGGCACAGGCCTGGCTGCGCCATGGCTGCCCTGACCGCACGTCCCCTTTCTCGGGCGTGGACATCTAGCTGCTATTTTTGTGAAGAGGCAGAGGGCGACCAGGTGCGGCGTGGATGGCCTGTCCCCAGGCGGCATGTTCTGGGCCCCAGGACCATTCTAGAGGGCCAGGGCCAGAAGTCCGGGGGGGGGGGACAGGAGGGTCGGCAGATGTCAGCACTGTGAGTCCGGCGCCCTTTCCCTCCCAAAGGCCCCTGTCGTGTTGGGTGGAGGCGCGGTGGGCTGGGCAGGGCAGGGCAGGGCAGGTGGGCCTGCTGGCCTGTGTTGTCAAGGTGAGTACCCCATGCTGGGCGCCCTGACTGGGCGGCTTCTGTCCCACAGAACCAGTGCTGTGGGGCATACGGGCCTGAAGACTGGGACCTCAACGTCTACTTCAACTGCAGCGGGGCCAGCTACAGCCGCGAGAAGTGCGGGGTGCCCTTCTCCTGCTGCGTCCCCGACCCCGCGGTGAGTGGGCTGTGCGGTCATGCCTTCCTGCAGCCGCAGTTCCCAGGGCCCAGGTGCTTGGCGTCTCCTCCCCACGGACCGCCCTGGGCCTCAGCGCTCAGTCCCTGAGCTTTCTCCCTCCGGGAGCGTTTCCGGGCCATGCTGGCTCTGGTTACCCGACTTGGGGCTCGCCCTGCATGCCTGTACCCGATGCCGTGACCGTGGCGTGCCCGCCAGCTTGTGCTCCTGGAGGAGCCGTGGTAGCTGGGGGACACCGTGCTGGACGGCTTCTCGGCAGGAAGTCGCCCCCTTCACCGCGTGCACTCGCCGTCCAAGCCCAGGTCCTGGAGTCTAGAACCGGGGCCGGCTGAGCGCCACCCTCTAGCTGTGTACAGCTCCCGGCCTGGCCTGGGCCCGGCTCCGAGCAGCCCATGTCCCCCTGCTCATGGCAGGTGCCCAGTCCCGAGCGGCTCCGGTGTGCTGGGCGCAGAGCGGGCTGGCGTGGCCGTGGTGACTGAGCAGGCTGGTCGAGCAAGCGTGGCTCGGGGTCTCCACCTCCCGCCGACCTGCCTGTTTCTGAATGGCCCGAGGACAAGGAACACTGTCCGCTATTCTTAAAAGGCTGGGAGG